TCTGTTTCCTTCTGTCTCCCACCCTTGGGCACTTTTCTTTCCCTTTATCTCTGTGCTTCCTTTCTGTCTCCGTGGTTCCGGCAGCTACATCAGGATATATACTCATGAGGATTTGGTGCTAAGATCCACAGATGAGGGAGAACATACATGACTTGCTTTTCTTAGTCTGTGTTACTTCACTTAGTATAACAGTTTCTAGTTCATCCATTTACCTGCAGATTTCATGATTTCATCTTTCCTTACCACTGATCCACTGTGTAAATGAACCACCTTTTCATTATCCACTCGTCAGTTGAGGGACACTTAGGTTGCTTCCATCTCTTAGCTGTTGTGAAAAGAGCAGCAACAAACATGGATGTGCAAGTGTCTTTACCAGTAGGATGAGTCCTTTGGGTATACAAGGAATGGTATAACTGGGTCTTGTGGAAAGTTCATTTTCAGTTTTTTAAGAGTTCTCCACACTGCTTTCCATAGGGGTTGCACGAGTTTGCAATCCCACCAGCAGTGAATGAGTGTTCCCCTTTCTTCAATTCTCACAGGATTTGGAGTCATTTGTTCTCTTGATTTTAGCAACTTGTCAGTTTTTTAAACCAAAAGGGGCAGAATGCACATCAAGCAGGATATTTTAAAATTCCAACAAAATCCTTCTGTGTTAAAAATGGTTTTCAGTAGGATGTGGGTTCTGATCTCGTTACTTTGGAGCCTGAGTTCAAGGTCATCTGGGTTGCTTAGCTGGACTTAAAAACTAGTTTCCGAGTTGAAGAGTGTTCCTTTGAATGTCTGTTTCCTTTCTTTCAATTTAAAGCCTGTTTATGAAAATGACGGTGTGGGTTGGGAGATGACTCAGCAGTTCAGAACAAGTACTGTTCTCACAAAGGACCTACCTTCGGTTCCCAACACCCATATCAGGCAGCTAACTACCACCTATAACTCTGGCTCCAGGGCACCTGAGGCCCTCTTCTGGCCTCCAAGGACAGCTTCACACACATGCACATACCCACATTCATTTACATAATTTAAAATAAAATATTTTTTTTAAAGCCACTCATGACTCATAACAAATCACCCAGTGTAGGTTTGTTTGTTGTTGGTTTTTTTTAGTGAAAAGCAAGAGTTTTTTTGTATATCCTTCTTCCATAAATAGTCCCAACATTTAAAAATATTTTATTATTTTTTAATTTTATGTGTATGAGTGTATTGCCTGTTTGTATGTAAGTGCACCCATGTCATGCAGTGTCCACAGAGGTAAGAAGAGGGTGTCGGATCCCTTGGAACTATAGTTACAGATGGTTGTTATTTGCTATGTGGGTGCTGGGAATCGAACCCTGATCCTCTGCAAGAGTAGCCAGTGTTAACCACTGATCCATGTGTCCAGCCCCAGTCCCAGCATTTTTAAAAGAAACTTTGTAGCTATCTCTGGTCTCAGCCTTACTGTGGGTTTTCTATGTAACTGTAAATAATGTACTTATTTCTTATTTATTAAATTGTCTAACAACATCTTTTGACATCTAGCTCTGAAAATTAGGATTTAGTTTGTTTACTAATTCTTCCAATTAATGATAGTTGCATTTCAAAAGTCTTTATGCTCTGAAGAGTGTTGGTAAACCAGCCCTTCTTTCACATTTCAGTAGTTTCTTTTTTCAAAAAATATTTATTATTTTTATTTTATGTGTATGAGTGTTTTTCCTGCATGTATGTAAGTGCACCTTGTCACTCAATGCCCGTGGAGGCCAGAAGAGGGTGACAGATGCCCTGGAACTGGAGTTATAGACACAGATGGTTGTCAGCTGTCATGTGGGTGCTGGGACTAGAACCCCTGGGTCCTCTGCAAGAGCAGCCAGTGCTCTTCACCACTGAGCCGTCTCTCCAGCCCCAGGCAGTGTTTCTTGCTGCCGGCCTTGTGAAGTGGAGATAGCCATACTTAGTCTGACATTCCCTATTGTCGCTACTGACCCGTGCCTGGTTTTTATTAGCTATACTTAGTTTCCTTCAGGTTCAACATTTGTGATATTTATCAGGATAGTGCAACTACAGCCCATCTTCTGTGCATTGTGATTAATAAGGGGTCAACCAGTTGTACAACTGTAAACTGTCAGTATCAGAGCACACAGCAAATTGGAGTTATATTTCCTGGAAGCGCTAGGGGATTCCTACACTGCACAGGAGGGCACAGCATTCAGGCCAATAGATAAATCTCCCCACCTCATAACATCTTTATTTGGTTAAAAATATATTTAAGTTTTGGGACTGGAGAGATGGCTCAGTGGCTAAGAACACTGGCTGTTCTTGCAGAGGACCCAGGTTTGATTCTCAGCACCCACACGATCATCTGTAACTTCAGTTCCAAGGGATCCAACACCCTTTCCTGACCTCCGCAGGCATTGCACAGCATGGGTGCACTTACACACATGCAGATGATACACTCACACACATAAAAATAAAACATATATGTTAAAGTTTCCTTCATATTTGATTTGTATTTCCTATGTAGCTTTTTTTCCCCCTTCCTTTGGACATTTAAAAAAATTTTTTTCAGTCCTTGAATCTTATTTTTATTTTTTATTTTTTGTCCTGTTGATTCAAACCCAGGACCTTACATGTGCTGGGAAAGGCCTACCAGTGAGCTATACCCCACCCCTTTTGAATCTTTATGATATCTTTATCCATTCAAGAGCTTTCTTTTGCCAGTTACAACCTGTTCCATTGATTCCCTTCAACCCCTTCTCTTTGTAGTTTATTTCCTTTGCATGTTTTTAATCCCCTGACCCCCAACTCTCCCAGATAGGAGGGGTGAGTCTGTGAGTGCTCAGCTGGCTACCTTAACCTGGACTTAGCCATTTCATTTTGAAAGCCTGTTTTATACTTTTATGAAATCCATGAATATGTTGTTCCATTTCAGGGCTTTGAGACTTCTGGTTTTCGGTTTGAGGCCATATTTACTCATTTACAAATAGAAATTACAGTGTGTTAAAGATAAGAGAGATTGTGGAGCTTGTCCTAGTGACACTTCTTAGTATCTTAGGAGATGGAGACCGAGACCCACAGAGCAGGTGTCAGCAGTACCTTTGCGTGTGGGCTCAGCTAATGACCACTAGAATTAGAAGGGAAGATCTTTGACTTTGAGCTTCTCGGGCTCGGTCCATGTTATGACACCTCTCCAGTCTTGAATTGTGTGGATTAGACAAGGGAGTTGGTAATCGTTCTCTTGGTGGGGTCCTGTTTACTTGAGTAGGTCCATTTGTTCCCTTAAAAAAGACGTAGAAGGAGGGCTGGGGCGGCTTGGCGGTAAAGGTGCTTGCTGCTGAGCCCGACAGTGTGAGTGTAAGTTTGATCCCCGGTTTGGTGGTGGAAGGAGAGAACAGATTCCCTCAGTTGCTCTTTGACCTCCACATGTGTGTCACGTGTGTGGTGGTACATGTGTACCTCACCTCTTTATATACACACACAAATAGACAAATGTAGAAAATTGGTTTTAAAAAGATACAGGATGAGGAGACGGAGAGATGACTCAGTGCCTAAGAACACTGGCTGCTCTTGCAGAGGACCTGGGTTCGGTTCCCAGCACCCACACAGTGGCTAACTTTCTATAACTCCCGTTCCAGGCGATTCGACCCCTTCTTTTGTCCTCCGCAGGTATTGTATAAACGTGGTGCACTTACATACATGCAGACCAAACACTCACACGTAAAGTACAAATAAATAAATAAAAATGTACAGAATGAAAGTATCTGGGTGTAAATGTTATTTAGATTCTTAGCTGTGGTTCATGCGCTGTCATAAATACCAGGGACCCTGTTAATAATCTCATTTATCTACGAGGTAAAGAAGAAATGCTTTTGAGAATGTTTTTACTGGATTTAACGAGGCCTGAGGGAGGGGTGGGGAGGCAGCTGCACTTACCTCCCTCACTCACCCTGGTTGCCTCTGTGTGCACGTAGGCTGCTGCATGCACTTAGGATCAAGTAGAAAGCCGTCCATGATTATGGGCGGTGCTGTGTTCGGCACCTCTAAGTCCTTGGGTTCAATCCCTAGTGCGCCCCACAAATATCCCGAGGACCGAGGCAAGTTTAAAATTTCTTCTTTTCTTGGTGTTAAACTCATGTAGTGCCATTAAAATAACGCACGCAGCACAGGGGCTGTTCTCTTGGAAGGAACGAGTGGCAGGCTTGGAAGCCTGCTCTGGGTGTTAGAGGACAGTATAAGATACTGACATCTCCTTCTTCACCAGTTGCTTGAATCAGCCAGGATGCTTGGGTTCAACTTGGTGTGTGAAGCTCCCTGTCCCATGTGGGGATGTGCTAATACAAACCGGAAGTTAAATTTGTATTAGCATTCTTACGATCACTAAATAATGTGGATGTGGCAGCTGTTTGCAATTAAACTAGAAATCTTAGCTGGTGCTATTACTTTTTGTCCCCTGAGCCCCTAGCTGAGTGGTCCTGGCTCTGGGTCCAGCCGCATGGCCATTGAGGGAGAAAAACAGCATAAAATATATAAAATGGAAAAGATGGATTTATCGACGGTTTGGGCGCAGACTGGGGAGTCTCTCCTGGCCTGTCTCTGCCTTTCTCGTACTGCCGCAGTTTATCCAGGGGGGCGGAAGAAAGCGGGAAACGTTCCTGGAGAATTGACTGCCGGCTCAGCCACTGAATGCGCAGAAGTGCGGGAGCTCCCGGGGGCTTTTCCCTCTGCTCCAGAGCCGAGGGAAACAGTGTTTGAAGAAAACAGTCCTCATTTTGAGGGTTGATATGGACATCATGGTGTTGCTTCCACAGTGGGTAAATGGTTGATGTGCTGATGCCTTCTGCCCCCCTCTCTGGGTAGGCCCTGCTTCAAAACTGGGAGAAATCACCTTTGTCACTATGTCGTGCCTTATACAGGACTAGCATGTCTCTTAAAAGCATATCAAAGGGAGGTATTACTGTAAAGTCTAAAGTATTGCTAAAACACTTTGAGAGTGAAGACGTTTGAACATGACTTTCCTTGTCTTCATTTTAAAGAATTCAAAAGGAACTTGCGGAAATCACGTTGGACCCGCCTCCCAACTGTAGGTAAGTACTCAGATTTTCATTTACTTGTGTGGTTTGTGGAAGGCTCATCTGATTAAAGAGCAAACATCATTGTGGCTCGGCTTTGTGAGCGTCTCTGTGTAGAGATGGATGCTCAGGAATCCGGTTGGTGCTGGTGCAGTGGGGTGCCACCACAGGGCAGCATAATGGCACGGTAGCGAGGGTGCCTGAGCTGCCTGTCATTGAAGAGGTGTCGACACCTTAAATGATGTCTTTAATGATAGAAAAATAGTGTTGCTAAAATATTTGCTGTTTGATAATTACTCAGTTGTTGGAGATTGATTTTTAGACATACAGGAACATTAAGCAGGGCTTTTTTGTGGCTTGCACGAATTCTTGGTCGTCGGCTCTAAGGATGCTTGATTCAAGGTGATGACGTGGCATACACAGTGCTTGCCTCTTTTGACTGCATTTCCCCCATTTTTCTGGTCTGTGTTTATTTGGAGGAAATAAAAGTGCTTGTCCAGAAATGTTAATGCTCAGGTACAGGAGGAAGAAGAGAAAATAACTTCTGCCCGTGCTGCATCTCAGGCCAGTGCAGTTGTTGGCCGGTGACTGTTGGGCTATTTTAAGATGGTTATTTTTGTTTCGGTGTGAGGTCAGTGTTGGAACCTGGCCAACACGGAGTTTCCCTTCTTAAATTGATGGTCTTGATAGCAAGAGGGCAGATAAAATGATGACGTTCTCAGCATTGAACACAAGCTGAATTTATTACTTAGTATCATTTCTGAATTTGCTGGTCTTATTTTCATGTGAAAACAAAAATAATAACCATAAGTGTTAATGAAAGTGAAAATTCATAGATGGTCATATTGGCAGATGGTCGGTTTATTTTGGTGCAGGAACAATTCTGATAAGCCTTATTATGTTTGTGGTGAATCTAATGCGGTTCTTTACAGGAGAGTCATGTTCAGGACATAAACTTACAGTGACGATGTTCAAAGACTGTTTTACTCGAATGTAATCTTCCTCTCTGTTACATAAGATCATTTAATGTCACGCTTGAGACTTAAAGTTGTCTCAGATGACAGATTACTGTTTTAACTTTTGGTGACCAGTTCATGTCAGTGGATGGATTTATGGAAAAACTCCAGATTGAATTACGTAAAAACATCCATTGTTTCTTAGGATATTATTTGTTTTATAGTGTTACTCTTTTTATTTTTTTAAAGGAAGCTGTTGGACTGGTGAGATGGCTAAGTGGGTAAAGGTGCTTGAGGCTAAGCTTGACGATCTGGGTTTGATCCTTGGGACCCACATGATGGGGAGCGAGAACTGACTCCTGCAGGTTATTCTCCGACCTCCACATGTGTGCTGTGGCACAGGCCCCAACCCCCTTCCCCAAGTAAATAAATAAAATAAACTGTTACAGAACATACTATTTTTTAACTTTTACTTTTTAAAAATAGCTGGTTGGTGAATATATAAACTTCATATACTTTTCTGCTTAAATTATATATTTGATTGATTTGTAGTAAATGTGCCCATCCAGGTTTCTTTTTTGCGGTTCTGGGGATAAACTCAGGGCCTTGCATATATGATAGGCAAGAACTCTACCACTGAGCTACACCCTCAGTTGTCTGCCTTGAGACAAGGCCTCATATGTAGTTCAGGCTGGCCTTGAACTTGCTATGTAGCTCCAGCTGGCCTTGGACCTTTAATTCTCCTTCCTCAGCCTCCCAAGTGCTGGGATTACAGGCATACAGCACCATGCTCAGCTTGTCCAAATATATTTCAATGAAAATGTGTTATCTTTAGAAGACAAGTTAGAGGATAATTTTAGTTTGGTTTATTTTGGGCCAAAGTTGAATATGGTTTTGTGGTTGATTTTTTGAAAGTTCTGTTCTGCCTTTGATATGGTCCATTGCATATAAGGAATTAACGTACAGAATACAGCAAGTTGATGGTGCCTGCCTAACAGAAGGGGCCAGAGTTCCTCAGGGAGCCTGCTCAGCTCTGATTTCGGTAGAAATCTCTGTGTGTTGCTCTGTTCACCTGTCTCTCAACCTTGCCTTTTGGTTCCGTGGATAGTTGCTAGTCAGCTCTTTTGGTTGAAGATGTGTGAGCAAGTGTCTGTGGACTGCTTGTTTAAACAGTTGGGGAAGAGGGGAGGATTTAGTTATTGGCTGTCTGGCTGTGTGGAGGTGTGTCCACAGGAGTGTGATTTATCCTGTTTTCTGAGACCTTACAAATGAGTGTACATAGCACATTTCTGCCTGCCTGCCTGCCTGCCTGTCTGTCTGTCTGTCTGTCAGGTTAGATACAGAACCTCTGAACTATGATGCATCTCATAATGTGATGTCTAGTTAAGGAACACTTGGTATCATATCGAAGGAACAAACAAATATTTAACTACCATGCAAGCCTTGGGTGAAGAAATATCAGTTCTCCAAATCACATATTCAGTGGAGACAGACCTGTTTGTATAAATCATTTTCGGGCAAAGTTACTCATGTGTAGTATCGGCTGATTTGATTTTCAGGTTTCGAATGAGCTTAAATTTTGTTTTGTCTTTTCGTTACTGAGGACACAATCCAGGGCCCTGGTGTCTGTTAAACACAGGGTCTTGTCATGAACTCTCCCAATTAGTATTTTGAAAGAATACCTACAAGTGATTTAGCAGGGTAAATTATTTCATATTGATAATAAATGCATATAAATGTTCAATTTTCTTTGTGTGTTTCTGTTTTTGAAAGAGATAAATATGAGATAATAGTTTAAATTTTTTTAGCTGAGTTTTTCTTTATCAGTAATTCTTCCTTCTATGTTTTAAAGAGTAAATGTTTCAAGACAATTAAGTTTATTATATATCTAAGAAGAAGGCTCTGCTCCGTAGAATCAGTCTGTGAGATCACAGGTATGACATATTACTGTATGCTTAGAGTGTTTCCTAATAATGGTGGAAAGTGTTTTGCTTAATCTCAGCTCTTCTTGCAGTCGGGGTTTCTGCTGGTCTCAGGTGGTCTCCCACCTCCTGCTGAGTCAGAGGTGCTGGGCTGTTTCTGTAATTGCTCCCCACCTCAGTGCTCACACACTAGCTAAGCTGATAGGTTTGATTTAGGCTGTGGTCCTGTAGAGCTCCGCTGGGTAGAAGCCTGGTCATTTGTAAGTGACTGCATGTTGTGACTTACCATGATTTGTAAATTGCCTAAAACTGAGAGATCATAAGCCCATGAGTGGCCCAGGTTCATTCATGTTTCCTTGGTGCTGATGGAGGACTGGCAACTAGTGGACCCGAGGAGTTCCAAATTGAAAATTTTAAATCTATTTAAAGGACATCTTGTATGTTGCGGAGAAGCTCCGTTCAAAGTCTGTTACGCTCCAGTCCGTATTAGGGTTATGAGGGTGGAATGGCAGAGAACCCCTGTTGCTTTTAGAAACCAAGGCGAATTCAGAGTTTTCATTTGGTGCCTGAGCGAATAAAAGGAGCGGGGAGGTGGCGGTCACTCAGCTGTGATGGCGAGTTCTGCTTCCATTTTTGCTGGTTCGAAGATCCGCGCGCTGAACATTGGCTCTGCTTTTTTTCATTCAGCGGCTTTATGAGGACGGAAGGTGTAACGTTCACTTGACTGTAGGTGGTTCGTGTACTCACTGAGCTTCGTCATCACAGTAGGTGTTACATTCACCGTAAAAGGTACACCTCACCCATCCCAGCCACCTTCTCCATCCCCCAGCCCTCCCGTCTCCTCCTCCAGGCAAGTCTGTCTTCTCTCTCTTCAGATTGGCCTCATCTGGGCATTTTTTGTGAATGGAATCGTACAGCTTGGGATTCGGGGAAGGTGCAGTGTTTTAACGCAGCACCACAGTTGATTCATTTTTAGGACAAACGACACCCCGTTTTAATGGCCATACCACCTTTTACTTGTCAGTTGATGGCTGTTTATTTCCAGTTGCAGGTTGCTTTGACCAGTACAGTTTAGGATCATTTGTGTACAGCTTTGGGGTAGACACGTGCTTTGATTTCTCCATATGTCTATATGCACGGCTGTGGGTGGAGTCTCTGGGTCCTGTGCAGGTCTTGTCTCTGCCTTTTGGGGACTGGCCAGGAAATCTACAATCTCCACAGTCCCTTTTTCCCTGTCAGTGGTAAGTGAGGATCTCAGTTTGTCCACCACTGCGGGCAGTGCTTGTTACTGTTCATCTTTTTGATGCCCCTTGTTCTAGAGGGCACAGCATGGCATTCACTGTAGTTTGGTTCACATTATCTTGGGCAGATGGATGGCGAAATCAGAGCCTCTTTTCCTGTGCTTGCCGAAGACATCTTATGCTGCCTCTGGAGGAGTAGCTATGCAAATTATTTGGTCACTTTTCACTTGATGTTTTTTTGTTGTTGAGTTATAAGAGTTCTTTATATATTTTGGATGTAAGTCTAATGTATCAGATACATGATTTGCAGATATTTTCATCCACTTTTTGGTTTTTTTTGTACGTTCTTTTTTAAAGCACGGGTTTGTGTTTTTTTGGAGGTACTAGGGTTTGAACCGCTCAGCTATAACCCCAGTTTGATTTGATTTTTTTTTTTTTTTGAGACAAGGTCTCACTGTGTAGTCTAGGCTGGCCTTGAATTTGCTGTGTAGCCCAGGCTGGCTTCCAACTCATGGGCCTTCTTGCTTCTCTGCCTCCTGAGTGTTGGGGTTACAGGTGGACTATGTACTCGGACACCTGCATTTTGATGTTTAATATTTGTGTATGTTTGCCTGCATATATGTACATGTACTATGTGTGTACCTGGTACTAGTGGAAGCCAGAAGGCAGTGTTGGATCCCCTAAAAATGGAGTTAAGAGAGTTGTGAACTGCCTTATGGGAGTTGGTAACTAAATTCAGGTCCACTACTGAGCCATCTCTCCAAGCCCCTTAAGATTTTGTTTTTACTTTTAGTGTGTGTGTGTGTGTCTGTGTGTCTGTGTCTGTGTGTGTTTGTGCACATGAGTGACCTGCTGAGTCCAGAAGAGGGTGTTGTAAGCTGCATGGTGTGGGGACA